TCACCCGCTCATGCATTGTATATTTGTGTGTATTTAAAAAAGGAAATAAACATAAACATAATGAAAGATGAATAGGATGCACTTGATGCGTAAACGTGTATGCTATCAGTGGCGTAACGTTGGTATTTTGTGAGGGTACGCCACGAGTAAGCGATAGACGTGCTGTGAGGGGGGTTCGGGTGAGGTCCCCCCAAGAAAATTTGAAAATGAGATCGCATTTGAAGCGTTCTGGGGCGTTTGAAATACGAAATTCCGACTATTATGGACGAATAGAATGTAAATTATTAGCCATTTTTGAAGTGTGGGGCAAATCAATATAAAAAATCAACTGTTTTCTAAATTTTGAGAGTAAGCCTACGCCATGGCGTTTTATGCGTATATGACGCTACGCCATTGCTATAAATTATAATTAACCAATTTACTAAGGACGTTGTAATGGGCCATTTTGATCAATTATGTTAAGAATTCCTAGTAAAATTGACTTGTAGATTCACAGAAAAGTTCCTCAATGGATTTTGATATCTAAATCAACTGTAACACGCGTGTGTAAGGCCTAATAACATTTTGAACACAGAGACAACCGTTTTTAACAACATGAATGATGATTTTTTAAATCATATAATATTGTAATAATAAGGTACTTTTAGGCTGCGTTCATAGGTTTAACTTTTCAAAATTACAATACAAATACCTTGAAATACGAGCACCTCGATAATCCTTTAACGCTTTAACCAGTCGCGATATAATCCATGTCATTTTCAATAAGGCCTAGCAATTTACATAATTGACCAAAACGTTACTTTTAAAATGCTATTATTTTTTGACCATGGAGCATATAACCTTGATACTGATCGTATCCGGACACTGATATGTCTTTAACTCCAAAAGGCCAAGTGATGAGCAAACAGGTCCATTGATTGTTAATAAGGGACGATCATTTTTGCTGTCTACATCCTAATTTTGATGAAATTGATCATTTAAGGACTACCGGAGAGCAAGTAGGAGATGTGATGGAAAATAAGATAGGAGAAAGAAACACAACCAAGAATAATTTGTTAGTTTCTTGTACCGTATTTCCTCAACTCATTTTCTTGAATCACAATCCACAAAGTATGAGTCATATCGACTTTTCCAAGATGATCGGTTCTCAAAGTAATTTGAAATTGCCGCGAAATCAACTTATTGGGAAAATATAATCCCCGATTGCATATTCTTTCTCACTTTTCAGACATGTGCCGACGCGTTTTTTCTTGAATAATATAATTGATTATACCGTATTTTATTAATACATATAATATTCTTTAACATATTTTTACCGTAATAAATAATGAAAAAGCAAAAGCTTCGTCTGCTAAATGAATGCGCCAAAGTAGTTCCAATATGTCTGACATGTAGAAATCAAAAAAACAACTTTTGTACTTGTATGAACATTAACTATCAAATAAGTGATATAATACTCGTGAAAATGACAAACAATATAGCTTGGAATACATTTATAAAGACAGTGATATTACTTGTCACTGTTACATGCTGTACAGGCAACTATGTGCTACAGGTTCAAAATACTGGAGGTGGAAATTTTATTCCAAACAAGTTAATTTTGAATGGTGATACTTTGATTATAAATTGTGAAATCATAGATCCTGACTTTGATTCATATGATGATCGACAACTTTTGCTGTATGAGTACCAAATGCAAGGCCACTCACCAAGCATCACTCTTACTAACTCAACCTGGTCTCGTGTCTTCAACTTCCCCATGGATGGGACTGCATGGATCCTGTCGATTCCTCGCGTTGACATTGTTGGACCTGATCTCTCTGTACATCCCAGAGAACAATGGAAAGTATCAATTGAACTTAACATGAACATGCACTTATTCAAAACTTATGGGACACTTGTTGATTTGGTGAGCGAACCTATTGCACAATGGTTGTTGAACCCCGAAAGTCCCCCCAATCCATCAACGTTATCTACAGCGACACAAATTCTTCATACAAGTAGCCCTTGTTCTGCAGATGTGGGAATTATGAGTCCTATTTTCAGTGATCTCACAATTGGAATTTGGCTGTTTGTGACTTATACGTCGTTTCAAGCACCAAATGAACCTTGGTATAATCTGAACACTAATACCCAATGGTGCGCAACATTGGATTGTTCGAGCGTACACCTCATTGATATGGAGTTAACAAACAATTATCTCCTATTACTGACAAACCATGGCCTAGTTATACTGGATATGCTAGCTTCTGATGAAGCACAACTTTTTCACCTGGTTAACCCATTCGCTTCTACAAACCATTCTAATGTATTCAATACTCCTCTGGCATTGGGAGACATGGCCTTAACATATGTGAACTATTGTGCAAGCAAACATCATACAATAAAAAAACATCAACTTGTGAGTGTTTGCTGTAGTACGTGCCCTGCAAGCCCTGAAACATGCGTACATTCAGTGCCACCATACACGACTTGGTATGCTGTTTACAATGATGTGAATGGAGCCGTTCCTCCTGCTGATTTATCAAGGGTGATTGACATGGTGTTTAACTTCCATATTGACTGTATGGTAATTCTGTACCAGACAGTTACCTCAGAATATGCTGTAGAAACTAGAGAGGTATTGCCTGATACCATTACATGCTTTTTCATGGCCTTGTTCCCATCATTTAAGTTTCCCTCCGATGCTGTTTTAACACACCTGTATTTCCATGTTCCTACGGCAACATCATATTGCCATGGAAACCAAATCTGGATGAGTGTAGACTGTGGAAATATGTTTTCTTTATCAAGTCAGTTAATATCAACTTCAGGATTAATGCATAATATGTATAGCAATCTAGATTTGGATACAGCTTTAGGAGTAACTGATGATAATGGTGCCTACTATACCAAAGCTGGTGTGAATAGATTTGCATATATTGGGCCAGTCGATGACAGTCTACCCTATATATTCCATGTTGATCACCTGGGTTTTACGCGACATGTACAAATTGGTTCAGCTGGTGAAAATTTCTCAACCACAGATTTCGATCCACAATCTCGCCTGTATGCTATTGATAATATTGTTAAACTTAGCCATCCACTAGCATTGAGATTTGTGACCAACGAGAAGATCAACTTGTATGAGTATGATGTTGGATTAACATCTGAATTCTCCGATATGCATATTGGTCAACAATTGACCCTGCAGAATGGTGGAAGTGCTCTGATAAACAACGTCTTAAAATTGAAATTTGCGAAACCTCATTGGGTGTCTTACATCACAGCTTATATCAACACTCCCCTATCTCCAGAGAGCTTCACTACAAGTCCTGCTCAGCAGTATGACATCACAGTGACAAATTTGGATTCTGATGCTGAGACAGTAACTTTAACTCTATCAGATAGTGGCTCTCCAATAGGTGGCACTGGGTGGAAATCGAGTGATGTGCACAAAACTGTTACTATTCGGTATTTAGGGGGATCTTATCTGATCATATCTTATACAGACACATCAAATGTTGTTGCTGTATCAACTGTTGCATCACCGAAATCTGCATCTGCTCCTGGAGGGAAATGGTTCATGTTCAATTTTGGAGAATTTGAATCTCAAATGAACTGGTATTTGGAAGAAGCACCTTGTCAACATAGCTGGTATCCAGATAGCACCACTAAGACTCAATTTGATTTAGATTCTGGAGATCGACTCACATTAGAACAAAGGGCCTTTTCAACTGGCGATGCTAGTACACAGCCATACAGCCACTTGATATATCTCAGAATGAGCAATCCCTTCTTCTATCATCCAGAGTTCACAGAAACTATAAATCATCAAGATATAAACTTATTAAAGGTTGAGATGCAGGATGAGATGTTTAGTCAAGCAATGACAGTTGTTACTTTTCAGATGGTTGATGCATCTCTCAAGTGCCCTATAGTAACTAAAGTCTTCAGGGTGTATTCAGGATGTCCCGAGAGAAAGGTTTTGCAGTTCCACTACCCACATGAAATCTCTATACAGGAGTTTCTCTATGGTAACCCTCTTGATAATAATAATCGATCTCTCATACAAGAACTTGTGCCAAATTATCGCCCACCATCACATATTGGGATAGATATTCCACTGACTGATAATATATACAACGCTGACCCAAGTGTTCCAAGACCTAATGATTATTTCAAGATATCCAAAGAATCTGGCAATTTAAAACAATGTGCCGGTGCATCAAATCGTGCCATGTGTACCTGCACTGATGAAATGAAATTCAGCGATGATGTAAAATACTCAGATTGTCATCAACGTGTTTACAGGCTACTGTTTCCCGGAAAACTCACATTGAACTTTACAGTAAATCAACCTGGTAAACAGACATATGTACTCGAGGAACAGTATATTATTCATATTTCGGAGCAGAACAATCGCAAAGATTACACAACCTCATCAAAGGCTTCATCTATGCTTAAGTTTGCCAAAGCAAGTAAGGACCTAGGTGATACCTCAAAGCTTCTGACCCCTGGAGGCACTGCTTTAATCACAATGTTTGCTTCAGGACTCTACCATTTCAAAGTAACACTCATGGATGGCTTCACATACTGTCCTCTTGAGACTCAATTTATGGTTTTCGTTGACTCCCCTCCATTAGCCTTCCCTTTGGTGTATGTGCTGATAGCCAGTGTTAGCATGTGTGTTGGTATTTCCATTTTCATGTCCTATATTTGGTATCTATCCAAGCATCATCATTTTAGAATCAGAAAAGTAGGTTCACAATGTCAACCTTTTCATAGTTAGAGTTAGATAACTCAGTTCAGCTGTCAGCAATTGAAAGGAATCCTATGTTACACGACCAGATGAGTCCATAAAGTTACTTCTATCAGGGTGAGGTGGGGGGGGGAGTAAAACCCTACATGACAATGTCATTCTCAAAGAATATTGATTTTAAAAAATTTAAGTGAAACACATGTCAACATTACAAAATTTTGTTATACAGTGGGTGTGAGGGGTAAACCACGGAGGAATTAACTATTTTTTCACTTTTGGTAATATTTGGCCACCCCCTGAAGGCTTACTGACATATTGATAGGCCTATATCTAACTGTGCTTGAGGAATGAATGAAGCATACTTTAATGTTTAGAGGGTATCATACTTTAAACTGAATCAATTCACTTTCAAAATCTTTAATTTTACAAATTTTATTTCACCACCGAAAAGTGGTGACATATTGTTAGCAACCATTTTGCTGACAGTTATTTGGCACAGTAAGATATAGTTTCTGATGTTCACTACTATGAATAGGGCATGACTTCAAATGATAAACTTAAAAGGACAAGTCGCTTTTAGGTTGACTGTACTTAAATATGTCAGTAACATCTTCTATGTAATACAGAATAGCATTATTTTATTAAGGATTGGTTATACTATTCAGGATTTTCCAGAATTGGCAGTATATCAAAACATTCACTTTTCAAATGGAATAGACTAGATGCGAGTAGAAATAACCTTGATTTACATCATTAAATATTCAAAATTCAGTCAAAGTGATGTCATAGTTGAAATCTGCATGTAAAAGTACATCTAGAAACATGGTTTCGAAAATTGTCTATCAACTTTGAAAATGTAATTTTTTTTGAAAATGTGACTTCTTGTTCGGGTTGATTCCTCATAGACCCCATGTTACAAAATCACAAAAGGTGAATTATCTTTTCTTGTATTGGACAGATAACATTTTCTTTTACTGGACATATTTAACATCTGTAGCCTTGATGAATAAAATTATAAATATAAGACATGAATGTAAAATATATATTATTTCTGATGATTAAAAATGAACAGCTACGTTGTATGAGTAGACATTGTGCACTGAGGCTGTTCTTAGTGTATAAGAGAATCATGTTAAGTACTGATGATGCCATGATAGTTGATCTCAGAATACTAGTAACATAACAGAAATTGTGTATAATATTATGTTTATCTGGATATAAAAAGATATGTAAATAATGTTCAATATTTACAATTATAATAATACTTGTGGATGTGACCTTAGGTCGACACAACATTATGATAGTGTAAAAATGGTCATTAGGTCGACAAATGAAAAATTTGAAAATTTTCTAAAAACAGAAAAATAATATCGTATTTGAGGTAATTAGACATAAGAATAGTCTTTGGGGGGATTATTATGATGTTTTATGTGATATTTTAGGAGATAAAATTTTTTTGTTGACCTAATACCATCAACATTTTTTTACACACTAGATTGGTCATTAGGTCGACACAAAGATAATAATGATAATAATACAAAAATGTAGACATTAGGTCGACATTTCTTTAATAATACAAAATGTCGTCATTAGGTCGACATTTAAATAATAATACTAAAATATGGTCATTTGGTCAACATATTGCAAAAATATAGTCATTGGGTCGACAATTTGATAATATACAGAAATATGGGCATTAGGTCTACATTTTAGTAATAATACAAAATATGGTCATTTGGTCAACATATTGATATAATAATTCAGAAATATAGTCATTGGGTCGACACTTAGGTAATAATACAAATATATGGTACTCGAGACAATGATTATCACTTTACGGTTAAACGTCAAAGGATAAAGAGTTGACTGCTGTGCATTTTTACTCTTGGCATGATTTTATTGTTTTATGTTTACACGCCACACTTACTTTGTCACAACCTGTGTATGTTGTTATGTGAATATATCATTATTGAGTCAATTTTCGTTCACCACACTGTTTATCAAATAAATGCATCATCCAGAAATATGTTACGTGAACAATGGAGTGCATTCAATTCCGGAACTCAAAATTGGCAAATAACTTAAAATAAAGTGCCAATACTGTGATTTGATTAAAATCAAACGCCAATGGCCAATGGGCATTTAGAGTATGGCAAACATGTTTCGAAAACTGGCGGGATAATTGAAATAAGAAAATCCATTCTCATTGAAGTGCCCTTATGTGCATTTAATTGTGATCATTTTCTCTTTATTGCCCATGGGCATTTAAAAATAACCAGAACAACAGCAACGCCAAAGCGTAGCGAATCCCATCGAACAGCCATGGCTGGCATATTTACAAACAAAGTACAAGTATATAGCAAAAATAACAGCCATTTTTCAAAATGGCCACCTTCTACCATTAGACAGTGACATTAGACAGTGTGCCATGCTTATAGTATTCACATACCAAATATGAACAAAATCGCTCCAGTACTTTTCGAGTTATAGTAAAATACGTTAAAATGGCGGCCATTTTTCAAAATGGCCACATTCTACCAATAGTGTCATTAGACAGTGTGCTATGCTTATAGTATTCTCATACCAAATATGAAAAAATCGCTCCACTACTTTTCGAGTTACAGTAAAATACGTTAAAATGGCGGACATTTTTCAAAATGGCCGCTTTCTACCAAAAGTGTCATTAGACAGTGTGCCATGCTTATAGTATTCACATACCAAATATGAACAAAAGCGCTCAACTACTTTTTGAGTTATAGTAAAATACGTTAAAATTGCGGCCATTTTTCAAAATGGCGGCTATTTTTCAAAACGGCCGCCTTCTACCAAAAGTGTTATTAGACAGCGTGCCATGCTTATAGTATTCACATACCAAATATGAACAAAATTGCTCCACTACTTTTTGAATTATAGTAAAATATGTTAAAATAGCGAGTAAAGGCCGCCATTTTTCAAGATGGCGGCCATGTGCTCCTTTAATATCTACATTTCTAGCTTTATTAATGTCCTATATAATTTTTTTACATTTAAAACATATTGCTATTACAGTTTTACATATTGCACCTAAATTACTGTAAAATTGGCAATAAAATGGCCGCCATTTTTAAATGAGCGGCCATTTTGAAAATCGGCTTTCGAGCAGAACTTCTACCCCCATAGGGTATATGTGTACAAAATATGAACAAAAGCGGGCTAACGGTATTTGAGTTATTGCCAGGACGGACGGACGGACAGAGGCGTTCCCTATATCCCTCCGAACTTCGTTCAGTGGGATAATAACTCTTAAAGCTTAGAATATTGGAAGAGGCTCAAAAGGGAAGACAGGAATATACAGTGCCCATAGAAAATGCCCATATGGGCATTTTATCTTACGATTTTCACATAATTGCCATTGAGAATCTTATTAATAATGATTTTTTTATTTCCATCTACATGTCTTATTATCAGTTTCAATCAAAATTAAACCAATTGCTTTCATTTCTTTTAATAGAAAGTGGGAAAATTTGTACAAAGTTGACATTTGAACATTCCAATGTTAAATTTTTTTAGAAATCATACTTTCTTTTGAATTATACGCCCATATACAGTATACTTTTGCATTGGGGGAGGGGCTAAAAGAGGGGTTTATTGACACCTGTTTTACCATTTTCTCTACAGGAAACATTGATAATCAAACAAATTAGTGACTGCAACATTTCTTGAAATAATGCAAAGGATCTTCTCTTGGGAATATCCTTTGGCCTGTCTCCTGTGATTATGCGTACAACCTCCATTATGGCAGGATCAGATCTAGCAAGTAACAAAAACATTATCCCGTGGAAATAATTTGTCACTACTTCCATTAATCAGTTACTTTTTGTGCATTACTCCCCAGTTTATCTCTATTGAAGTCAAAGTGAGGTGGAAGAGGGATATCTGACTAACACTTCTCTATCACCATACTGTGGCCAGTATTTCGTGAAAAGGGATACAGGCTTCAGAGAAGTTGCAAATGGAGGTTGTTCACTTGTTTTCTTATTTCAATATTTCTGAAGGTATTCTCGATTTTACATCCCAAGTATTCTACAATACATTGTACATAGGTTCATTGAGCAGTTTGCAGTATTATATTATTACAAGAGAAGCCCCAAATAACAAAAAAATTAAAGAAGATCCGCTCGATTTGCAAATTCAATGTAGCCTGTATCCCTTTTAAATGTGGTCAGTTGACAGAATATAGTGACTAAGAACAAATTAGGTGACATTTAAGCTTCAATCATCTAATAAATCTTTATTCATTAGCAAATGAAATAATCTACAGTTGCAAGAAGTGGATTCCAGAAAATGTACCAAACTAATGTCCATTGGGATAACTACCCTTTTAGAGTCTGAAACTTCAGTAAGAGCATATTTAACATCCTCCGATCACAGGGCTTCAAAATCCAGAATATATTCTTTCTTTTTTACCCCTACGATAAGGATGATTTTTAAGGATCAAGTAATAACTATCAAAATGAGTTTTAACTGATCCTCTTGTAGGGTGGTGTATATTGTATATGTTTACACAGTTACCATATACATTGAATCAGTAATCATTATTCCATAAAAGGTCCTCAATTAATCCATCCTTTCTGAGAATTTACTAATTTTATTTAAGTTCAAGAAAATAGTTGTTGAATGACTTCAGTCTTTATCCTTTGTGCTTCAATAATTCATGTTGTATTCTTGTTTGTCTCTTGTCCATGTTTAGCTTTTTCTGGCCATGGTGATGTTTAGTTTTTTTTTTGTTCACTCTGAAAATACAGGTACAAAAGACACATTTAATCAGTAGTCAAGCTTACATTTTATCCTAGGAATGGTTTACAACAGAACATGCATTCTGACCTTTTCTTCAGCCTTAAAGCCTCAAATGGACAACTGAACTAGCCAAATACCCACTTTTCAGCTCACATGGTGAGCTTTTGCAATCGCTCACTTGTCCGTCTGTCTGTCCGTCCGTCTGTCTGTCTGTCTGTCTGTCCGTCCGTCCGTCTGTCTGTCCGTCAACAATAGTGGCATGTTTTAAAACCTCTGTCGATAGGATTCCTGTTTTAAGTTATTTCTGTTCAACATCAATACAGAAAACTCCCCTATGACTCCTGGTTCAAAAGCTCGCCTATTTTCAAAATGGCCGCCATTTTTGTCTCGCGAAATTCAATTTTGACCCATTTCCTAGCTTTACAAATAATTTCAGGAGTCCTACATTGTAAAAATCCATGTCAATGTAAAGAGTAGATATATGAAATAATTTTGTTCCAAAAAATCAGCGAAAAATTATATCCATTTTTTATTTTCAGCCATTTTAGTTAACATTGATTTGTCTCGCGAAGTCCACTTTGGGACCATTTGCCTTAAAATCTCTGTTGATAAGATTCCCGTTTTAAGTTATTTTGTTCAACATCAATACAGAAAACTCCCCTAT